GCATTTCAAATGAATAACCACTAAATGGTGCTAAAGGACCAAAAAAAAATAGTTTCTCCTTAGTGTTGCAGAAAATGATACTCCTGTCCCTTTCTGTTTAAGTGAACAAGAAAATACTTAAAGTTCTCTCCAGCAAAGAAGAAAATAAAAGTACGCTGTGGTACTTTTTACCAACATTGTTTGTAAACTGATTTCTAGTTTTCAGCTCTTCTTATTTGGTAACTAATCAGAACTTCTGGTTTGTTGTTAAGGAACTAGAATTCCTTCTGTATCTGGATGGTAAACATTCTGCCAGAATAAAGATTTCCGTAGCTGTTTGTTGTAAAGGTAGGGAATTAGCATGATGTCCTGTTGTATGGTATTTTTAAAGCAACAGCTTTTGACATCTGAAAACTACGGCTGAATACGTAATGGCTACTAAATGATACATTTTGAGACTATTCCAATTGGGCTCCAGGTCTGAGGACTGAAACTGTGCTTCTCTGATTTCTTATTTAGCCAAGCACATCCAAAATTGATCCTCTTGATTATTCACTGTGCTAGCAAATATGTCACATCCTTTAAAATTAGATGAAGTGCATTCTGGAGCTAATCAGATTTCTGCTCTGGTGATTTTTTTTCCTGATAATTATTTTGATTATCGGAAATCATTCAATGGGCAGGATATATTTGTTTACTTCTTTGTTCTTGTCCCAGTATTATAATTTAGCTGCGTAAATCTTTTGCTCAAAGTTTTGGTTTGACGTACTCCAAATCATGGTGATTTTTGTGTGTGTTTTGATTTGTTTCCTTTTTTTGCCTGACCAAAGGTGACAAAGCAATTATTCATGTTTATATTGTATGGTATCATTAAGGGTTATGTTGTCTTGGGAACATTTTCTAATGCAAAGTTCTGTCTCTGAAATTCTATTAATAGTTCTGAATACAATTGAGTATTTTGTTAGCTGTTTTGTTTTTAGAATGCAGCTGCATATTAATTCTGATTTTTTGGAGGTGAAAAAGACAGAAAGACATAGCATGGCAATCAATTTGGATTTCAAAAGTTTTTTGAAAAAAGCTGAGGGAGTAAGATATTCACTGAATGGGGAGTGAATGACATGTATTCTTCCTTAAATGTTAAGATGGTAGTATATAGTATATGAAGTATATCTATTGCAAACTAGATATTGAGTAGAGTCATGATAGAACCTTGTCACGAGGTTCTCCTTTAAAAGCAAAAACTGAGGTTAGCCTTTGAGTCTGGTTATGCAAATAGGTATTTTTGATTCAGAGTTGGTAATTTGCAGCTATTTGTCTACTTTTAAATGATTGGAAGAGGGAATTAGAATTTTCTTTACAAATAAAAAGCTTGCCCACAACTATTTATCTCATCAATATAGAATCTGTAGATAATCCTCATAAGAATTTAATGCCTATTTATGCTTGTTTTTCTATATGAAACACTTCTGCTAGATATTTTACTGAAGACATCATCAGGACTTATGTGTATTGGACTCCTGTCCAAGGTGAATGCTTGGCATGGAAGTGTGTGTCGTCTTCCCCCTTCTTAGTTTTGAAGGCATTTACTATCCTGATCTTTCAGGATTTAATTTTCTGAAAGCTACACTGTTTTCTGTTTCTGGGTACGTTTTAAAGACCATCATGAATGAATTGAGTTTTTCAGTGACCATAAGATGTCTGAGACAAAATAAGCTATCCTATTCTTCCTGAGAAACTGGCTTCCAGAGCGCAAGAGAAGGTTGTTGTAAGAGTGGTGCCATCAGTTTTTCCTATGGAAATGATGCCTCCTATGGAGCCCATGATGCGGGCTCTTGGTATTAGTAGTGTCTCCAACTTTGAGACTTCCTGGAAGTGAAGGGTTTTTGCGTGAACCTGCTGTGCCATTGCCTTGCTAGCTCAGGTATCATTTCATTTTTTTTTCTAAATGCAAACACACATATACTTTTATATATATATATATATATATATGTATTTATATGTATACACACAGTATTTGCAAATAACTTCTGTTTTTTTTCCCCCACTATGTTCTAAAGAAGATTGTGACCAGACCTTCCCAATTTTCCAACCTAATTTAAATAAGTTGTCTTTGAATATTGGCACTGTCTTTTAGCTTGGTCTTTTCCATCTCTGTGCTCATTTCTTTCCCACTTTTTTTTTTTTTTTAATTTAAGGTGCTATTAAGAGCATGTGGTTGCTGTCTTGAGTGTGAAAAAAAATAATTTATACGTTTCTAGCTTGATACTGCAAAACATTCCACAATTCTGTGATTATCCAGGAAGGATTGTGCCTGATTTAGTCCAAATGACTTTTTTTTTTTTTTTTTTTTTTTTTTAAATCTTCCTCTGCTTGAAAGTAGGTGACCAGAATTCTACACCATGTTATAAATGAGGTCTTACAACATCTGGCATTTGCTGGACATTTTTTCTAAGGACTTCCCTTGACCCTCTGGGAGATAAGCATTTGCTTGGCTTTGTCATACTGGACATTACTGGAGAATCAGTAGCTCAATGTATATAAATATTTATAGGTGAGTGTATTACAGACCAGAAGAAAGCTTATCTGTCAGCTAGGATTTGATTGATTTACATAAGTTGATCACATATCGAAGTGTTATTAACCAATGTGTATTTGTATAAGTAAATTTACAAACAAAAAGCTATTCAAATCCTTTGCTTAGGGAAGTAAACTTTTATGAAGAATCCAGATGTTGAATTTGGTTGTAAGAAGACAATGTTCAAGTTGCATGTTGGCGGTAAAGAATATTGTTTATAGTTTTCTAGTCTGTCCTTTGAAAGATCTTTCGAATGCACAAATAGTGCATTTCTGGTGCACAGTGAATACCTTCAGTGAGAAGTGATGCTCCATCAAATGGGAGTCGGATGTTTGAAGAAAGAAGTAATTTACTTAAGCATAGAAGCGAGTGCTTTGCTTTGCTGGCATCTGTGTACCTAATGGGTATTGTCAGTTACATACTTTCAAAGGGGACTTCAATCTGCTAGGTTGAAGACGTACAAGATTTCTACAGCACTGAAGTAAAAGTGGTTCCCTCTTCCCCACCCTTCTCTCCCCTACCTCTTACAAGCAAGTAGATGCTGCTCTTTCTTTTTTTGGTAAACTTCCTTTCTGATCTGTAACATCTGTTAACAGGTTCCCTGAGGCCCTCAGAAGCTACAGCTCTTGCCAAATCACATTTCATGTGACTGTTGCTGTCTTCAAGATGCAATCTTAGCGTATGAGTGTTGTGTAATCTTCAAAAGCTATGTCCCTGGGGCCTTCTAACCTATTAAAGTGTGGTGTTCTATAGACATGTATTTGCAGGTTATGCAATTGAGTAATCTTGCCTGGGATAGCAACATAATAAATTACACTATTTTTGTTTTGAGAGTAAACCTTGTATTGATGGAGTGGGAAGTTCAGTATTAAACACAAGCATCTCTGTAGGCAACGCAAGTGAGTACAGCTTAATAATAAACATTCTGTGCTATTTTGTTATATATTTAAAATTTACTATCCTAATACATTATTTTAATGTGAAGATTCCGTTTAGATGTATTATTGGTTGTATACAGTGAGCATTTTAAATTTAGAAATGGCTTCTCCAGTAAATATTTGACAAGTTAAGAGTAGAAACTTTCCCTCTTTCACCTTAACATAAAATATATTGTGACTGCTGATTCACACATGTCCCTGCAATGTAATTCCCCTTAAGTTTTTTTTTTTTTTTTTTCTACTTTTTTCTTTATGGTTCATTCTTATGGTAACCAGGCTTGGGATTACAGTATTACTGTTTTGGATGTGATAGAATTCTATCCCAAAATTGGTAAGATAGTTGCACTAATACATTTCAAGTTAAAACACTGCAAGCATCTTGCATTGAAGGATTTGGCTTATAGGAGACCTTTTTTATTAACTGTCTTGAAGACTGTGAAATCCACCTTTTCAAATGTTACATTGTACCACTTGTATTAAAAATGTGACTCAAGTTCTACACTAAGGTACGCAGGCATGCGTTAAGGTAAAATTAGTGGAAACTTCACTGAATGTCAGGCTTTAATGATGGATAAAAGCATAGTGGACTTCTCTTTAAGTCTTCTGATACAGAGAACAGGCAATGTGAATAATGGACAAATGGAAGAAATGTCTGACATCAGATGTCTTATGTGGAAGGGCTTTTGAAACTTGGTAATTCTGATTTTTTTTTTTTTTTTTTGTATTAAGTAGCTAAAAGTTCAGTTGCAGAGCAGCCCAGACTATGTATGTCCTTTGTTTTTGAGGTTTGTGTTGGAATTTAATATTTTTGAAAGTGAGCAGGAGAATTTTTTTTGAGTTGGATTTTTGTCATTTATTTAACTGGTGGTTCGTGCCGTCAAATCTGAAGTAAAATTCTGCTGAATATTTGCTAAACTTCTTTGATTTATATTCTCATTTGTTATGAAGGTAAAGGTACAAGTTGGAAGTGTGTTTTATGGGGTTGTGTTGTTTTTGTTTGTTTTTTCATTTTGTATTTCTTTCTTTAAGGTATATGTTGGTGAACTACCCCAGGATTTTCTTCGCATCACCCCAACCCAGCAGCAACAGCAAATCCAACTGGATGCCCAGGCAGCTCAGCAGCTACAGTATGGAGGACCAATGGGTACAGTTGGGAGACTCAGCATTACAATAGTACAGGTATAAATTTTAATATCTCTGTAATGCAGGATTCAATCTTTCTTCATCAGTGGCCACAAAATAAATGTGTTGTAATTTCAGTTACTAAACTACCTGTGTAAAAGGAATGAGTAGTTTTTAAAGTTTTTCTAGTTTAGTGCTTCTGTACGTCTGTGTCCTGTTTCATAGCTATATCTTAGACAATTTCCTGAAAGCCTAACTATTTTAGCATGTGATTAAAGTAATTCAAGGCACAGTTTCTCTAACTTCTGAAAAGATTTTCAGCAAAAATATTTAATGTGGGAGGACATTGGCAATTTTTGAGAGTATTTGATACTGTAGGAAACTGTAGTTGCCCTCTGTATTCCTTAAGTGGCTGCTTCTCCATCACTATTTCATTAATGCCTTGTGTGTTCCTCCCCAAGTGCTTTCTGCAGACTTTCCCATTAATCACAAATGCGTAGTCCCAGCTGTTTATTTTCTCATTTTTGCCTCATTATCTTTGTTTGATCTCTTTGCAGCACTGTATTATTGCCTTCATTAAGTATAAGATTTCAGGTTTTAAAACTTATCTGCATTAACACAATTCTTTATCAAAACTAGCTCACTAGATGTCCTTCATATTAACTGAACACACTTCATCAATTTGCAAATTAAATTTTATTTTTTTTCTCTAGAAACATACTGAAGATGCATTTAGCCATAAAGCTAATGCCAAGCCTGCAATACTGTAGTTATGGTTACAGGTTCCATGATATTCTTACCAATGAGAAACTGGAGAGCCTCTTGGGAAAAGAGGCACCAGTCTTTTCTTTCTAGGTTCTTCACTGGCCAGTTTACACTTTCTCGATCAATATGCCTTTGAAAACTGGGAGTGACACTTCTTGCAGAGTTTTACATCTGAGGTCTAGGCACTGGAACTGGTATGTTGCATTTGGTTGCAGCTCTTGCTCAAGTTCTGACCAGTTTCCTAGTCTCTGTTCAGAGATTATCTATTGAATGTGGAGCTCGTTCTGCATTTCTGAAAAGCAGAAAAATGTTACTGCTTTTAGAGCATGGTGGAAGCAGATTTAATAAAAGTGTTTTTTTTTTTTTTTTTCCCCTGAAAAAACTAGTAATATATGATCCAAGTTAAACCTCCGATGTAAAAGAAAATTAATGTTTATCAAATAACATATATATCTCCATTAACTCTTAGTTTCTAGTTTATAGGTGTTTCATCTTTCACTATTTTCTTGGACAGCTCAAAGTACTTTTCCGTGTAGGATGTTGATGTGGTCAGCCTAGGTTGCAGAACTTCTGGAAGGAGTTGATAAGATGGTACAGTGTTCAAGAGTTTCATCTCACTTTTAGTGGTTCTGTAAAAAATCACGAAAGACTAAGCAAGCTGGGCCTGTTTAACTTGGAGAAAAGAATATTGAAAGGAGATCTGATCAATAGGTATAAATACCTGAGGGGAGAATGTGAAGAGGATGGGGTCAAACTCTGCTTGGTGGTGGCTAGTGAGAGGGCAAGGGATAATGGATACAAATTGAAACACAGGAAGTTCCATCTCCATTTGAGGAAGAACTTTCCTGGGAGGGTAAAGCACTTGAGCACTGGAACAGGCAGCTCAGAGAGGTTGTGGAGTCTCCTTCTCTGGAGATCTTCAAAACCCACCTGGATGCCACCCTGTGCATCATATCCTAGGTGTCTCTGGTGGAGGAAGGGGTTTGGACTAGGTGATCTTTAGAGGTCCCCTCCAACCTCAACCATTCTGTGATTCTTGTTTGGACTGATGGACTGTCATTATTAGGTCAGTCCTCCCTTATTCTTGTATTGCTGTGCAGACAAGAAAACACATCAAGCCTAGTGGTTTTATTTTAACAGTTGATGATTAAGTATATGAAAAGCATGCACTAGTCCTGCTGCTAAAACTAGTAGAAGATCAAAAAAGGTTGAGAAGGTCATTTACTGCCTTTTTTTTTTTTTCCTTTTTTTCATTTTTACTCAATGTTCTTGTAAGGACTGTCATCCTGTAAGAACTGTTTCATTCTATTCCTGTATTTATAGCAAAATCTGTTGTTATAAGCATACTGATTTTGCGTAGTACATGTGTTTATAGAACTTAATTTGCTTTATAAGGTACTGAATGGCACACTGAAGTAATGACAAAATGTCTACTATCTCTGAAAACTATAAGCAACTAAATCTTATCTGAATTGAACTGTTTTAGCAATGTGAACATTGTGTGATACTCATGAAGCTATTGGTTTTGTTTCATCTGTTAGAAGTACTTGAGTGAAATGGGGCAGTCTGCCTATTGCATTAAGTTTATGGTAATATATTAAAGAGCAAATTACTAGAGAAAAAAATGAATCTACATGACTATTTTTGTTGTAATCATATATTTACCTATTTATAATGGAAGTGCATATTCTACAGCAGACTTTGGAAAGAGAAGCTCTTTTCAATGATCTTTAATTGCGTCCCTGACTTCTTTTATTCAGTGCTGATTTTCTTGAGGGTGTTTTCTGTCCATGTCATATGTGAACATAGTCCTTTGCTCAATGTTTTTTTTTTTTTTTTTTTTTTGGTGAATTAAAGTTAATGTAAATTAAGGCTTGCATTTAAGGCTTGCTTTTCTTCTCATCTCCCCAGGCAAAACTAGCAAAGAACTATGGAATGACCCGCATGGATCCATATTGCCGAATACGGTTGGGCTATGCTGTATATGAAACTCCCACAGCGCATAATGGAGCCAAGAACCCTCGCTGGAACAAAGTTATTCAGTGCACTGTTCCTCCGGGTGTGGACTCGTTTTATCTAGAGATATTTGATGAGGTCAGAAAGGCTTTTTTCCCCCCTTCCCCTTCTCTTCCTCCCCCATCTTGAATTTGGGCGGAGGTTTGGGTGGGTGGAGTCGGCAGTATGGGATGGAGTTACCAAAGGCTGTTTCCTGTTTGCTCTCTGGGAGATGAGGCAATTTTTTTCAGAGTCCTAAGAGCTGCAGTGCATAAGGCTTTACTCTGTCTCCAAGAATGTCAGGACAGCTGCTTTTCCCTTGGCTGATATGGGCTAGTCAGCATCCAGCAAGGTTGCTGCTGTGCTGTAACTGTCCTTGAAGTTGTACCTTCACTTGTCCAAGATACTCTTGCATAAATCTGTTGAAGTTAAGTGTTATTCCTTAGGCTACAGCTTTTGCCAGCAACTATCTTACAATATATGCAAATTGCAGCCAAATAGATGAATTCATAGGATGGAAACAGTACATATCTAATTATTTCATATTAAATGTACTTCAGAATAAATGTGTGTGTCTAAGAGCTTTGGTTAACTTGATGCTTTCTCTTTCTCTCTCTCTCTCTATATATATGCATATATATATATATATTTGTATATTTATCTTCTGGGCTTGTGAATGTGTTAATACTTATGAACTCAGTTTAGGCACTCTTCTCCTGAAACTGTCCTTCCTGTATTGGTTCTTTATTACTTCTTTTAGATTCAGCTTTCTTGTGGATTTTTTTAGCATATCTATGCATTCAAGTTAAAAATGCTGTAACTGATCAAGCTTCTTTTTCAGGCTAGACAAGAGAATCTACTTTCCTTAATCTTGAAGTGAATTGTGTTCCTATATTCTAGTGTCATTGGGAAAAGTAAAATCTCATAGCCTTGCCATGTCTACCTATCTGAGGAGGTGTATATTGATATAGCCAAGCCAGTCTGTAACATTACTTTTTGACATGTGTAAATCTCATTAGAATGTGGCCAGTAGTAAGAAATGGTTTATTCTTTTAAATGTTTTTTATTTTTGGAAAATATTCATATAAAAATATGAAAAATTAGCAGCAACTTCCCGATCCTTTAATTAGCCTGCTCTCTGATGCCTTCAACTGCTAGAAACATTTAAACTAGATTAATGGAATCTAGCTATTTTTCTTTTAGCATAGGCCCCAGAATTAAGTACTATACAATGCTATCCTGATGTATTGACTGAAATGGACTGTATCTTTGGGAAACCTCAAGTTTTAACAGCATGGAATACACTATTCAAAGTTTCATTTTGGAACATTGTAGTTAGGGCTCCTGTGAACTAAACAGTGATAATAGGCAGTGGCATCAAACATACAACGTGCGCAGGTAAACAGGTAAATAGCAGTATAGCAGTGAGACAACAGAGAGCGTTCAGGCTGTTCAGTGTTCAGCCTCCTCTAAGGTGATGTCACTAAATTCACACAGATGTGTTGATGATATGTTGTATTTTTAGAAATGGATTTCCTTTTATTTTATTTTGTTTTTTTAACAAACTACCTGTGTTCAATCTATAGTCCTACTTAAGGTAAAAACCTTTGTCCCTGGTGGGAAGATGGTGGTGGCTAAAATGATCTCTGGTGCTTTAGTTCTATCAAAAGGAATGATTTAAAAATTGTGTAAAACTTAAGGGGATACTAGTCAATAATATTTTATGAGGATAATTAACTTGATAAATTTTATTTAAATACACTCCAGAGGGCCTTTTCAATGGATGACCGCATTGCTTGGACACACATTACAATTCCAGAGTCTCTGAAGCAAGGAAATGTGGAGGATGAATGGTATAGCCTGAGTGGAAGGCAGGGTGATGACAAGGAAGGAATGATCAATCTGGTTATGTCATACACGGTAAGTGTATGCTCTTCTCTGCTGTTTGAAATTCACACACTGCCCCACATCTGAGTAGCTATTCCTTTGATCACAGTGCTCCCTTCTCCTGGGATAACCTTTAAAACTGTCTGTAACCAGTGGCTATTATGTACATAGGATATCACCTTTTAATATTTTCCAAGAACAATCTGAACAGAAATTGGGTTCTAAAAGGAGTTAAATTGATATTTCTGTTCAAAATGCTTTTGAAGCTGAAAAATAAATTCGAACTTAAACTTGCTACTGGAAGCAGTGCACTGCTTTTATTAAAATGCAGGCTTTGTTTAAATATTTCAGTGAGTGTCCTATACTCATTTCAGAAGAGCAAGGTGTGCAAACTGATATAACCATCTCTTAAATGCATTCGATTGAGATTCGGTAGTGTGAAACTTGAATAGCCAATTTTAGCAAAGAACTGTTGCAAAAGACTGATTTGGTATGATGTAATTCTACTGAGTTGCATGCAAATTAATTCTCAAATAAAAGGTGGCTGTTCACTTAATTTACCTGAGACTATATTTTATACAGCTTAGCCCGTAATATAAAGATATCATGGAGCGTGGATTACTGATTTGCAGTGTGACTTTTTGCAAATAATATTTTAGTGACTTATACGTATTCCTGAAGTACTAAACTCTGTCGTGCTCTTTTGTATCAAGTCTTTGCCAGCTGCCATGATGATGCAGCCACAGCCCGTGGTCCTGATGCCCACTGTGTACCAGCAAGGAGTTGGATATGTGCCTATAACAGGTAGGTTTTATTTCCTTGAAGACTTTTGAAACCTGGGTCAGGGTTTTGCAAGAATAATTACCGCATTTCTCCTGTATTTTTGAACATAAAGGGAAGCTCTAAATTATCTAGCCATGTGTGTGTGGTGTTTTTTTTTCCTCTATGATATATTTTGTGAGAAGGAGGAGAATGATCAAATGTACCCTCTTCTAAAAAGTTGCAGGAGTCTGAATAAATGGATTAGAACAAGTAGCTCAAAACCTTCTCTCCCCCTTTTTCTTTTTTTCTTTAAATACTTGGTTTTCATTTATAGTTAAGTCTTTAACTAAGTAAATCTGCCAGGCTGCACTAATATTGTATATGCTGTTCATCTATGTGAAGCTGCCCAGACTTCAGAGCACTGTGACTGTGAGAACTGCAGCTTAAATAGATTATGAAGCGTTTCTCTTCTGTGGTCTTTGAAACAATTTTATTGAATACTTGCTGCACATACTACATTAAGTGTAGTGGATGAAAAGTGTTAGGGATCTCGGGTGGAGTTACTTAAATACATCACAAAGACTTAAGACAGATAAGGTCTGTCTTATCCCATGCAAGCAAGTTTTAGGCTTGTATGCAAAGATATTTTCAATTCTGGATCTTGTAAGTTTTTTCATCAAAGACGGAAAGTTTGAAATATGCTAATAAGCTTGAACAGCTACAAGTTTTTATTTGTAGTTTTTACAAGTCCAAGGTTTCTATTTTATTTACAACTCAAACTCCATTTTGTTGTGTTCAGCAAAGTATGTACTTTTTAGGGAAAATACAGTTATACTCTAGAAACATTAAGAATTTTTTTCTGCTCATAACAGTTTGTGGGGCATAATTACAATGATAAGAGGTGACACAAAATAGATTTAAGTTCAGAAAAAAAAACAAACCTTTGGAACAGAAGTGTGTAAGACTGGGTAAGTAACTTAAGGAGTGGAACCTTACTGTAGAGCAGAGCATGGAAAAAAATTGTTTTATTCCTCAGTGAAAACATATCGTATGCTTCCTTTAAAGTGCTCCTATTTCTAGAGCTTAATTCTCAGGATTAGTCTTGTTTGTGCCAATGGACTAGACTCATCTAGTGGGTATGTCCTGAGGTGTGGTTCCATTTTTGTATATAGCCCAACTTCTATATAACTCTTCTGCCTCCCCATCAGAAGCTGTATCTTTTTACTTGTGAGTTCATCACATCCCTATGGGGTGAAGCATCTGAAAGGGGAAAAGTAGCTGGTATTACCTGCTGCAGTGTAGTGGGAGGTTTTTTTTTGTGTGTGTCTGTTGGTCTGTCACCCTTCTATGAAGATACAGCATGTTTATTTTAATTCTGCTGTTTGGGCGATATGGAGAGTATGAAGCTTTATGATGGAAGTAGGGTGGAAGACTGAAGTGTTTTTGCAGAACAGTAGTAGTCATTTGTGAAAATGACTATATATATATATATAAAAAAAAAAAAAAAGCTTTAACATGAAATGACTTCTAGTCGAATTTAGTTGTGCCATCAAGGCCAAACTGGATTTTTTTCTGATCATGAGTAACAGTTTCTATTCAAAAGTCAGTATATATCATAATTAACCTTAAATAGCCTTTTTTTTTTTTTTTTTTTTTTCACTCTACCTATAGTGCAAGAGCAAGCAGTCGATGTAGGTAGGAAGCAGGTGAGATTTCAGATCTCAATATAAGTTCAGTAGCTTCCCCCCTGTAGTGTGTATGTACACTGGCCCTTTAGCTCTACTGTTTGATGGGTTAGCTTGTAGGGATGTTGGTGTTTATTCAGAATGCTACAGGTGTATGTTGTTCCTTTATGTGCAATAAAATATCCATACTACAAACACCTGGTGGCTGATTTACACTGGAAAAAAATCCTTTAATTGCTATTTCTGTAAAAACAGGACACTTCGGAAACTTGTTCAGAGTATTACAGAAAATGTGAGACTGAAGCCTAGCAGCCTTCAATTTCTGGTTAAATCAGTACTTACCTGACTACCAAAATTCACTCAACTTTGACTTTTAGAAACTAAATGGTTCATTTAACAAAAAAATATAGATTAATATCTCTTTCCCATGTCTTACTCCTTTTCCCTCACCCCTTCATTTTCACCTGTCTTTAGGGCTTGAGTACTTTGCTCTGGGTAAGTTTCCAAGCTCTTTTCTCACTCCCATCTTCATTGACTCCCGTTTTTGCATGAACTCATGCAGACAGCCTTTTTTCTCTTCCCTTTTTTTAATGTTGTGGCACACTGCATCACAAGGTACTGCACCTGGTTTCGCAATAAAGGCAGTTTAATGTGTCTCTTCAAGTCCCAAAATGCTTCTCCTAGTTTCAGTCTATTACAATTAATTTGTGATAGTGGTGTTAATGGATAAAATGTGGTACTGATTTTTTTTTCTTGAAACTTTTTGTGCTAGTGGGCTATTCTAGGTGATCATACATACTGATTTCCTACTAGAAAAATTTTAATGTAAACTTAAGTGAAGACTTTGGTTCTGCAGTGACGTTCCGGTAAGGTAGCCTGTCAACTGCTTTCTGTTATTCTTTGAGCCTTCTTATTCTAAACAGCAACGTTTTCATTGGTATATATCTTCTAGTAATAATCTGTTTTACGTTCATGTCAACTTAAGCATCTGACATGTATTTGAATGAACTTCAAAGGTAAACTGTAGTAGCATTTACCTTCTCACTTTACTATGCCACCTTTGATTTTGAGTTGTAAGAAGGTACTAGGCATCCTTGGCTTTTATGGATGTTTAATCAAGTATGTTCAGAAAATTCTAAAATTATATCTTGAGAGGAAGTCTTTTCTTTATGATCTGCATTTCAGAAAGATGGCATAAATGAAACAAATGATTCTTGCAATATATTGAGTGATGGAATTGCAAGTCTTTCTATGAACCCATAGACTTCATTTTATTTAGTAGTTTACAAAGAGGCAACATTTAAAATATTGAAATGATAGCACACATTCTAGCATTTTCTGTGAGGGAAATACCCATTCACTAGGTCTTACTGATATCTTTAAAGCAAGTGATCCCAATTTTCTTCCATCAAATGAAAGAATTTGTACTGACCAGGTTCTCAAACTGATTTTTGAAGGCACTGTACAAGGAGCAGAATGGTAGTGATGCAAGCTATTAAACATAGGGCACCTGACTGAACCATAAAGTAAAAAGTGTAATACCTGGGATGCAGGTTGTGGCTTTTTTTTTTTTTTTTTTTTTTTTTTTTTTTTTTTTTTTTTTTTTTTTTTTTTTTTCCCATTTTTTTTTTCCTTTTTTTTTTTTTTTTTTTTTTTTTTTTGTGCTGCTTTCATGCTTCTGCCAATGCTTCTTGCAGTCACAAGATGCTTTCAGATGACTTGCTGTTGTATGTACTCATTTCATGCCCTGGAATGTCACTGCTCCTGCTGCCTGTTTGCTATTCCACCAAACTGGAAAACACTGTGCCATTCTTCTGATTTGTGGGACATAGCAGGGAGCAATACCCAGGTGTATGCAATGCTGTTTATTGAAGTTGCTTATGTGTTTTACCTTCAGCCTTCACTTCTCAGTGAAATGAGCTCCTCAATATGTAAAACAGCTTCTTACTGAACACGAATAAATTTCAAGTTTTATAGCTGTGTAATGATTGCATACTCATTAAATCATGGTATTTAGTTTCTAAGCTGATGCAAGAAGTCTTCATCGCTGTTTTGTGAATTGTTATAGAAACTGTAAATTTGTTATAGAAATATTAAATCAGTGTGATATTCCATTTTCTTTGTGTAAAATGTAGTTGTTGACAGCATAAGTAGTAATACTTGAGCTGTAAGAGCAGAGAAGAGTTTGAAAATCATTACCAAAAATAATACTACAAAGAAATGTCTCTGAAACCAGGAATATTTAAATTCTTTGTGTATTGAATTCTGGTTTCAGAATTTACTTGGTCTGAAGCAGTGAGAAGTTGTGACCTTAATGATTTTGACACTGTCAAGGCACCTGAACTTTGTTAGTGAGCTTCTTGTCCAGTTGTTACCATAGACTGCTGTGGCACTTGAAGCAAGCTGGATATTTCATTTGGATTAACGTTGTAAACTAGCATCTTGCATGGGTAGTTCCTAGGTAATGTAGGCTGTTTTTTCACAAAATCCTATTCACTTGGGTAATTTCACAACATTAATAACCTGCTAAATAGAATGGGGGCTTCGATAAAAGGCAAACGGCTATTGGGTGATTCTGGAATACTGTGATGCGCTTTATTTCCTGATGCTGCATATGTTGGTCTCTTGTATATGGTGAGATTTTGTGGAAACTATGGGGAGAGAGCTGGGCCTTGTTGAGGCTGTAGAAGAGGCAATGCAAACTGCAGCTGGGTCTGATTAGTGGGCAGGGTGTTGCACTTGGCAGTGCTGGTGAGGACTGTGTACTCATTTGCCTCCTGGGTGCATGTATGGTACAATTTACCAGGTGTTAAGGTCATCTGTAGTGTTGGCAGAACCCCAGGGGCTAGAGCTCAGATGGCATAAACTCTGGAGCCAAATTTTAGGCTGTTGGGGAAGAGACCATAAGTAACCTTGGTTGTGAGGGTAATGCATGAGACCTGGCAAACACAGGTGTTTCAATGTGTGGGCGTAGTAAAATGGTGCTAGGAGCTGTTTTTCTAACTCTAAATATGTATCTTTTTGGAATAGATGCAGCATGTTCGTTAGATTACCTACAGCATCCAACTTCTCCTTTTGCTTCAAAAAAAAAAAAAAGTGCAGAGGAATCATCTTTCTCAATTTTGAGATGTCATTTCTGGATAGAAGTGGTATAGTGTAGGGACAATACTTTCAATCACCTAAATAGAGCTCTCATAATTTCACTTAGGCAAGACAGTAAAGATGCACACTTGAAAACAGTGTCAGTTGTCTGATCTAAGTCTGCTTAATATTATGGTACCTGCCACCAGAAGTATGTTCTTTTTTGAACAGTTAACAATTGTAAGAAAAGGAGCTTATCATCTAGTCCTCAGTAATGTATAGAACATTGTCCAAAAAAAAAAAAAACTTATTTTGAAGCTGCCCTATTTGTGGTTTTTCAGATGGTACATCCTCGATTTAACTTGAGGAAAAATAATGAAAGTCACAAAAGGAAAGCTAAAAAAGTGGACTGAACTCTGTAAAGACACTGTTAGGTTTAAAGTAGGTGTATGTAGATAAGCAGTCTTGGAGGTTATCAAATAGCTGCTTTGGTAAAACAATAAAATAGGTAATGAAAGTAAAAGGAAAAGATCTAACCAATTAAAAGAGCCTTAAATGATATATCTAAATTGGTTGGTCAGCAAAGCCTTTGAGGATCAAGTGCTTAAAGGGGTAAGAAATACTTTTTTTAAAGAAGCAGAAGCTATGGTATAATTTGAGCTATGGTATCATTTAGGTAAGTGAAGGACTTGAAGCGTGTGCGTGTGTATATAGCTAAGATAATTTAAATAAAAGGCAGAATATAAATCGTAACAGTGCAATGAGAAGAAAGGGTTTGCTTTGTGTGTATAGGTGTGGGTGTTGGGGTGTTTTGTGTGTGTGTGGTTTTTTTTTTGGCATAGTATCAGGTCATAATGTTAAGATTTAAAACAAATTAGGATGATCAGCATAAAAGTAACATTTTCTTCCAGTTTGTTTTAGGTTTTTGCAGAAAATACAGTGCAAGACCTTGTGTCTAAGTTGATCTTAATTATAGAATACTAGAGGGTAACAAAACTTTGACCTATTAGCAACCTATAAAATAAACTAAAACCTATAAATTTTAGAACTTGTTTTTCTTAATTTGTTGGTCAAACCTTAGAAATTTTAGAAACTAACAGTACTTTAATTTCACACAACAATACAAAGTCTATCAGAAATGTCAATGAAACTTGTCTTCTGGCAGAGAAAAAGGGAAAATCACTATGTACCCCCTTTAGCTGTTGAAGGAAGTTGTACTCTCGCTTCATTGTGGTACAGTTGCAGAGTGAATCAGATAGATCCTCTTTGAGGAAGCGATCCAATCTGCAGGTCAATTACTGCTCCGGATCAATGACACTTTCATTTTAATGCAATAGGGATTACATTCATTGAATTGCTATGTATCAATTGCATAAACTGCTAGTGTAAAAGCATCTTGTTCAATGCAGCATATATATAATAAGGTCCATTTAACAATGGGTGTTTGGTATGGATGTTTAGAAAAATAAATCTCTGATGCCCTTAGTGCTTGTTTAGTGATTAGCATAAGCCTTGTTAATTCTGGTTGCATCTAATTGTGAGCTGCATGTGTTGCTATATTACTGTGCATCTAGGACAGATCACAACTTGGCCAGAGAACCCATTTAAGGAAAAGGTCTTCTGGCTGCAACAGTCCAGAGACAAATGTTGCAACCTCTTTTCTGAAGTTATGTGCTCAAAAGGGTTTTGAAATTGGCAGGCTAGGGGTGAGAAAGGCATAAGCCACTTCATTTTTCAAAGTCTTTAATTTTCTTTCATGGTTTTGTCTGCTTGTTTGTCCTCAGGGATGCCTGCAGTCTGTAATCCCGGCATGGTACCACTGGCAATACCACCTCCTGCCATCAATCCTCAACACCTTTGTAATGAAGAAGACCTGAAATCTATTCAGGACATGTTTCCCAACATGGACAGGGAAGTAATCCGCTCAGTGCTAGAAGCTCAGAGGGGGAACAAGGATGCAGCTATCAACTCCTTGCTTCAGATGGCTGAAGAATCATAAATCCCTACTTCCTGCACTGTCCCCGTCCTTGCTGCCACCTTTATTTTTACTTGCCAAGCCAGGGATTTAGCTAGAGGAAGAATTTCCTAACTGTTTTCTGTTAGCGTATCTTATGTGAAAGATTGTATCTCCCTTTCTCCGTGGACATTTGGATCTTTCTTTTTCAGTCTGTTTTCAATTTAGTGTGTGTTCTACAACAGCATTGAAGCATTTTACTATCAGCTGTGCCCAGTGTGGCTATATTCTGACTGGGGAGGCAACTAATGCTGCTTTTTTCTTTCTCTCCCCTTTTCAAAAAACAAATTCTTGCAAAGTAACTCTATGCAGTACAGGACATACACTATTTGTTAGATGGAAAAAACTTCTTCTTTGGAGGATTTCCTTTTTAGGGTAACTTTTAGGGTACTTTGTTAAAGTATTTTGGTTTCATCAAGCAGCCTGTTTCTACCAGAAATTAAAAAAGGCCCTTCTGCTTGTTCTGTGATGTTTAATTATTGCTATGATCTAGTCAAATGTCATTGATGAAAAGCGTAGATTGAATAAGCTAAATTCCTTGGGTTGTGCTGTTCATATTTGTAATGAGCATCTTCCATTCAACGTAGTCATTGGGCACCAAAGCAATGTATTATCTGCTGTGCGTTTAGGGCTTTATTCTGTCATATTGCTGTTGTGTATCTGTAAAATCTTAACAGATAATTTCTAACTTGTACGGTCTGTATTACTGTAGCAGAGGATAAGCCCTAATGTACTCCTACAGCTAATTGCACTCTTATTACTACTTTAGCGTTCCCACGTTTATTCCAAAGGATGAATGCGTATGGAAAGATTTTATACCTGGAAAAAGAACAATTATTTGAAGTATTGTCTTATGTTTAAAAAAAGCAGAAACCTCTGATGTGTTTGTAAGACTTCTTTCTTTACTCCTAAATGTTAGCAATTTGGGAATCTTCAAATGGTATTTAAAGCTGCCCAGTGACTTGTTAGATTATGGTTACTGTATTTAATATATTTCATGCAGGTAGGAGTAAATTGAGAGAGGATCTAACATATCTGAATTACTTAACCTCAGAAGAGGTTAGAGGTTGCTAATATTTATTGTTAGTATTATTTTTTTCAGACATCAGCTCATCTCGGAGCTGCAGAATGTTGAAGTAGGCACCTGCTACCTGTTGGACAAATTCTGCAATGTCTGTTTTTGTAGATGGTGAAGTAATGCACTTTAAGTGGTATGCACCAGTTTATTTTTACCAGTGATGTGCAATGTTGCTGTTTTATCTTTTTAATGTTTGACTTCAAATACTTTCTACAATAGCCATAGACTTTTATATTTTCAAGAGTTGGAATGTACATTTGAAATGGAGGCTCTTGAGTGATTCACGAGAACTTTAAAACCGGGTTTTGAATAAGGAAAATAGACCCTTATTCTCCTCTTTCCCATGCTTTGTTTTGTTTTGCACACTTAAGATATTTTTTCTTATCTGCTGAAAAGCCAGTTTTCCCAACTATATTCGAGAAGCCTCTAAGTAGTGTTGGTATGAATATTTATTTTTTTATGATTAAAAGTGATACTAAAACTTCTAAAATACAGTATCAAAAATCATCCAGTTTCTGATCTTCTAAAGCAGACTTTTCATACTGCATGACTTAAAATTTTGTTTTGAATCCCCCTGCTGTCTCAAACTTCGTTTTAAAATGTCTGTGTACACCTTGCTATATTGGCTTTCCAATAAAGAGGTATAGTTTCTATGTTTTATCTGTAGTCACCATATCTTTATTTTCTAAGACAAGCCAGGTGTTCATCAAGAAGCTGCTCTTGCGCCTTCTCTATGACTGTGTAAGATTTGAATAGATATAGAGGCATTTGGACTTCATCTTCATAGCACAGTGATTTGTCACCCAAAAGGACAAATCTTGGTAAAGGTTTTGGTGCTCCATCTGCATGATGAGTCCCTTCCTCTGACTTTTACATAGATAGCCTGAATTGTTAGGGGCGGATAATTCAGGGAAAATGTACATATATACATTTTTATATTAAAATGTTGGGGTCTGTAATAACAGCTTTTTATAAAAGCAAGGTTGAACTTAATGGCTGGTATCCTACTGCAACTGAATTTCGAGCACCAGATTTCACTTTGAACATTCAGGAGGAGGAGGAGTGTTAGGTTAGCCAGGTTCATTCGGAAATGGGATTTCAGACCTCTGAGGGAGCTGTAGCTCCCGTTCTTAACTGTGTGAGTTTTACTGTTTGTTTGTTTGTCTTAGGCAAATATTATGCAAAGCAGGAGTTGTATGAGTTGCAGATGGGAGATGTAGGAGCAGTATGACTGGTAGATGGATGTCAGCATGTTATTCAAACTAACCTATTTTTCTGGGGATTTTTGTCTTGATTTAATTTAGCATTACAGCTGAAAATCTTATGTCAGGATGTGCAACTTCCTAAAAAGAAACAAAACACTGATCATGAGTCTGCTCAACTTTTCACCATACATATCCTGTCAGTCAAGCTGCTTATGAACAGGTTTGAATTGGAGAGAGATGTAAAAAGGCAGGGACTAGTTGTACAAGGGCCTGGCCCGTGAAATGAAGGTGTTGGAACCGAATGTGGTGGTGTGTGGTGGTTTTTTTTTTTTTTTTCAATCTAAAACAAATGTAATCACTCATTATGATTGTAGGTTTTGACAAATTCTATCTATCTGATACTTTGATACTGCTCTTCTGCTCAACAGCTTCAAGCAGTCTGGAGAGAAAGCCAGCTGTATAAGACTGGCATCTGCTAGAAGTTAGTGCTTTAGGGTTTGAATCCTGCCAAGAACCTAAACTTCCTAAAGATAGGAACACTTTTTGTCTAGCTAGATCCTTGCTACTTTCTTCTCTACTGCTGTTTGCCTCTGCTGATGGTACTGAATGTTGCCCCCTGGCCCCTTTACAAATATTACTGCTTGTTTGGTTGATCTGTAATACCATACAGAAGATATTTTTTGTTGTAATAATTCTAAAGATATTGTTTTTCTCTGTATTGAGGTCCAGCGTGTTTCTTGCACTCTGAAATGCATTAACTTTTTCATTCTAAATCAATAAATGTATCATCTAAATGAGAATGCATCATGTCTCTGTTGGAGAGCAGTGTTACTTGAATCTTTGCAGACGGACCTAGGATGCATCGTCTATCAATAGCTACATTTTATTGAATCATTAACTAACAAATTCACTTCAGTTCTTCAAGTGGTCTCTGGTGGGATTAGTGTACTAAGTGCTCAAAAATATGTGCCTTTTTTAACTGGTTACTCATTCCAGAAAGTGTTAGAGTAATGTGGGCCTGAAGGAGAGAGTAAGGGAGCAGTGAGGCTGCCTTGTCCAAAGGGGGACAGGGAGGAGGGAAGAGTGGTGCACATGTGGAGATGCTTTGTGGTGTGAATGGAGTCAGCGCTTTGCAGAGAAAAATAGTGTAGGAAAGACGAGTGACAAAGCAGCCTTTCTTTATTATTTTAACCATGATGACTGTCTTTTTTTAATCTGCTGTTATTCAGTCTTTTAAATTATTGAAGCTTAAAGATGTGATTTACAAGTAGCATTTCCCTCACCAGTCAGCCTCTTTGACTGGAAAGCTAGTCCAGGTCATTCTGTTCATTTACAAGCATTGCTTTGCTCAGAAAGGATTCATTAATCACTTGTGTTAATTTGATAATGTATTAACACTTGAGGTTTTGCTGTCCTAGTTTATAGTGTGACTTTTTTATTGGAAGTTATTTTAACAAATGACATTTGAGATCTTCACAACTCAATTTCCTTCTGTTTGTTTCCTTAAATGACATTATTGTCAAATCACTTAATACCAAAAGAAATTGTGTTTGCATTATTTCTTTGTGTAGCAGTTTCTATCCCACTCCATTTTTCTAAAGCCTACTACTGACTTGCACATTTCTCCACTATACTGAAGGACTGGGGGGGAAAAATGCATTGAAATATTGCCGTTCTTGTGCTAGCATCTATTAGCGTTTTAACTTTGTTAGTATTTTCATTTCAGTACTAATAAAGCAGTCATGATGTGTGAAGAGAAAGCAGTATAACTTAAATTATTAAAGTTAAGTATAACAGAGAAAATTTGGCATCCAGGAAGAATTGCAAATACTTAAGAGTAGGAGGGGAAAAAAAGGAAAACCCATAATAACAATCTTCTGTGCTTTGGTTTTATGTCGTAGGTTCCAGAAGGGTTCTTATGCTCTTGGCTGAAGCTCTCCAGGAATCTTGTTTAGAAACCAAGTTGATCTGTGTTCATACTACTGTGTGTATGCATTAGAACCGCTTTCTTTACCATCTTTTCAAAGTACGTAGTTATGTAGAGAACAGGTAGACTGTACAGGTAAGCTGTGCTTAGGTATGCTCTGACTCCTGAGGTAGAATTCACAAACGGGAGCAGTGAAGTTGTGGAAAGCAAACAAAATTGACCTTAACTGCGTATGTATTTAAATGTGTGGGAAAATTATGTGGAAAAACTGCTGTTTGGGGTATTCAAATCTTAATATTGAAATACAGCAGAAATTATAAAATGCACTTTGGAGATGACTTAGTCCTGTGAGCTACTCTGCGTATTTTTGTATCGAAGGTGGTTCATTGCTGCCATCTTCAGACGGAGGGGGGAAAAAAAAAAAAAAAAGGCCCCCCAAACTTGCTGACGGAGCTGGGAAAACCAGGGGAGCTTAATTACTTTAGAATAGCAACAGAGTCAGCTATCAGCAAACTGTGTGACTGTAAGGCCTGTGGTGTGCCTATCTGTCTACAAGAAAACACAAAGTTGCTGCTGTGCAAGATACTAGAAGACAGCATCTGTTTTCTTTGATGCTGCTTTGATGTTTCAAATTAGAATTCTTGCTTGTGCTGGAACAGGAGATTTGAGAGGGCAGGGGGGAGAAGTCTATGCAGAAGAAAAATTGTCGGTCTATTCCTTCTGGGGAAAAATCCAGTTAAGATGGTTTTGTTTCTCTAAAGGGGAAAAGGCAGAGGCTCTAATAAGATTTAATTGTAGACCAATCCAAGGTGTGTAGCATCTTGTTTAGGGGTAGAATTAACAATGTAGAAGCCTCGTTGATAAGCAAGGATGTGTTATGAGTGAATCAAACTCCTTATGCATAATGATATTGTATTAAAAGATGAGAAATGCTATCAAATGTCAACAGGGAGGGAGGTGAATGGAAGTTGGAAGCCAAAATTAATGAAATATTCTCCTTAAATCTCCACTAGGAGGTGCTGTTTCAGAAGAGACGAGGATACAGAATAATTGCTCTGAAAGGTAAGAAGGAGAAATGTTGGTATAAAACGTGAAGTATTTCTCCTGTTATTTAATACTTCTATATCACTAAGTATTTTGAAATACTTCTGAAACTTGGAAAGATTGAGAAATAGGAAGCTAATGTTCTTTATTCTCTGAACTTCAAACTATCCTTCCTGTCTTCACAGGAGAATTGGAATAAAAGGGATTTCAAAGATTAGATGAAATGGAATGGCAAGTGAAAAGCCCTGCGTAGGAATCTCATACCGATACCTGGTCCAGTTTAGCCTGTTCGCTGGTGCTAAATTCTGTCTTGCTTGTGAACTCAAGATACACCACAGGTGCCTCTCCAAAGTCTGATTCTTTCACTTGTTTAAGTAGCATGGTTCTACAGATGCACTTTTATAGCAGAGCAACATAATCTTCATACCTGCCAGATTTTGGTGTTAGATTTTTGGACCATGAAACTTGTAAGTTATTTGCTAATGGACTACTTCAAAAAATTTTAAACAACTCATTGAATAATTTGGTCCACAGATGTGTTTAAAAGATGTTATGTGGAGATATCAGTAGATGACAGTAGCTGGGAAATTTCACCAGCCATATGCATATTGCTACCAGAACCATTCTCTGCTGCCACAGTTTCTGTAATTGCCAAGTTAGTTGACAGAACAAGTTAATGTTCTATTTCCTGGTATAGGTAAATGTATTTCTGTGATAATTTTAGTGAAACATTAGGATAGCATTTGGGTATGATAAGTATTGTAGGGTAAAATTTTTGCATTTTTTGGTTAACTTGATACATTGTAGAAATAACTGGAAGAGCACCCAGGATATTTTTAATATGCTCCTACCCACTTTAAATCCTAAGACCTTAACTAATCTGTAGTTCCATGACTGGAACTTTTTGCTGCTATATTGTATGTATTTAACATGGATGGGATTTTTTGGCTATTAAACCGACACCTGTCTTGCATTAATTTTATTTCAAGTTCTATGGAGCTTGATGTAGTAGACAATAGCTAAATATATTTCTAAGATAAATGGCAACTTCTTCTACATAAACACATATGTCATGTTTTTATGCAACTAATTTCTGGTTTAAGATATACAATTTTAGAGGTTTCCTAGTTCTGTAATGCCAGCTATAGTACTCATTTTAAAGAAAATCTACCTGTTTGTGACCTGCTGAATTCTGTCCACATAAAGTGTGCGAGTCTCCTGGATTCTCTGCTGCCTAGGCTTAAGGCGAGGAGGGTGGAGAGAACAGATTTTGGTTTTAAAACTATGGGAGACAGTTTTTTTAAGGACATCAGTGAATACTCAGTGGTTTCTAGTATTTTCCAGTGGGCTGATTTTCAAAGGCAAAGAAACCTCTCCAGGATATTCTCTTGTGAACAGTGAATTGTGGCATGGGTTTTTTTCATAAATGAGTACATACCCACTGAGGCCTGCACTGGCGTCATCAAATTTAATTCACTGGCTTCTGATGATCTAACTGGAAATAATTTGGTGTTCATCAGTGACAAATAGCCTTTGTATCTTCCGTAATTCAGGTTCTACTGAAGTATTTTCTGTAGAGAAGCAAATAATCACCAGGAGGGGGCAGCTTAAGATTTAATTTGGACTGTGCTAACACTTGTGCAGTGCCTGAAATAATTCAGGGAAACAAGCAGACCAGAAAAAGCGAGGGAAGCCTTTGAATTAGTGAACATAGTCCTTATATAGCCCTTATATAGAGTCTGAGTACTTAGTACTAAGGGAAAAGGGGAGGAATAACCACAAATCTTATTGACTCCAGTCTGGTCTCAGCACTGTTAAAGCTAAAGCCAACTTTAAGTGCTCAGTTATTGGACGAAAGAAAGCCCTGGGAGCAGTGCGTGCCCCACTGCCCAAGCTAGTCATTCCACTGAAATATGTAGACCTGCTGTGGCACAGGCCAAGTGGACAGCTGAGAGAGCTAAAGTGGATAGCATGAACAAAACACAAAGCTAACGAGTTGTGTTATTTCAGCACCTTAGTTGATACTAGTATGTTGTTAGATGATGCCTGAGAAGGCCAAGGACACGGTGTTACTGACTTGCTTTAGGGTTTTAATTCTATTTCTAAATAAAAATGTATAAAATGTGAAATCACATGATTTTTTCATTTGTTCTTTGTTCTTCAACTAAATCTCTGCTTTTCTTACAACTTCTGATACAGTAAATGCTTTAAACAATTAAGGTAAATATAATGAACTACTGTGGGGAAAATGCAACCAACTTCTGTAGTGTAAATCCACTGAAAATCTTGTAGGTAATAAAGGAAACATGCATAGTTTAATATAACTTGAACTTACTTGCAAATATTGTTGCAAATTATGGAGAGGAAAATTTTCTGGCTTTACAGAAAATTTTTCATTGACTTTGCCATTTTTTTCATTGACTTCGTGTCAATGAAAAAAGCTGATTGGAGCTTTCATGCATACTTAAATTTGCTTCTTCAAACTGAAGAAACCATTGTTGATTTCTAAAGCCAGAAGCATTCTGGTCTAACATGTGGAACAACAGCAATGAAAAACGCTTCAGACTTTTCTTCTGGACTTTTCTAATTATAAGGAAAACAAACTACAGCCTACATTTTTTCTCTCTGCTTTGGGAACTAGAGTACAGTTAGCAAATAGGAACTCTTCCTCTGAGCATCTTTTCTGACAGTGAGCAGAGCTACTTAGCCATGGATAAGAAATTCAATCTCAAGAAAAGCGCTATCATCTTTCCCAAAGGCCACCACAGCTAAAACACATCCAAGTGAAAATCCCTGTCATTTAGCTATCCCTGTTCTATATAGTGAAAATGGGTATCCAAAAGTCCCCAGTCGTCAAACTGGAAAATGCTGAAAGTTTTATTGATCAAATAAGATACAAAATGAACAGGATTTTTTTTCCCCTGTCACTGACATGTCTGGTAAAAATATCACATCCATATAAATGATACGCAATAAAACTTTCTCTAGCCAGAAGAGTTGAGACCAGTGTAGACACAGTGGTTTATGGTTCTGTTTTCAGAGAGCCCTTACAACTTTGTCCAAAATACTATTATTGACTGGACTGTTATATTTGCTTATCTCTGATGAACACTGATTATTTTACATGGGCTTCCATTTTTCCTCTTAAATCGTATCACTCAATCTTGGTATGTACTTTATTTGGCTTCTACTTTTTGACATGTAACAATTGAGAAAAGATCGTATCAGAAACTGAAATTGGATAGCTTAAGGAGGAGTACAAATTTGGGGATGTATGATTCCAGTTTTCCTAGGGGCTCTGCTTTCTTTTCCAAGTGATCATCTCTTTCTTCGGTTGCTCTTCTTCCACTGTAGGCCTTCTTTTGTAGGGTTTTCTGAAATGCATGCATTCGTGCACTGGCATTTTTCCACGTAGATGTAGTTATAGTTGATGCTTGTTCCATTTTGGCAAGTCAGAGTCACCTGTCTTGTCTGGCTGTTGAGCTCTTGGCAACAGCTACAGTCATGTTGCATCTGGTTTGCTTCAGCAGAATACCTATGCCCCAGAAAAAGCATATCTTCTCATTAGAAACTGGTACATAAGGAAAAATAGTAACTTGTCTATATATAAAAGAGAAAAAAAAGTGTGAATGTGTATAAATATACATGAATGTTCTTTTAATAACCTGTCCTTTCAATAGTGAATTTCTTCTTGCTTCCATTCAATCTCAGAATAAGCTCCTTCTCAATTTACAGGGCACGTGTTTGGATCTGTTGTTAATAATAGGTCCAAACCTTTTGTCATGTGCATAGAGTTCCAGATGTAAAACCAAAAATTACATTTTTTTAATAATGAGTTTTTTAGTTCTTTAACAATCTTCCTTTGTGCTAAATTTAGTTCATAGCACACAGATAACAATGAGAGAAAATGAAAGCTCTAGGTCAATTGTTGGTATGGAATAAAATTTTCTTGCTAATCTATCTTTAGTTATCTTGTACTTACAGAAATGCTTTTTTAATAAATAGTTCTAAATTATGGACCAGTTTATAGATGATACTTTTCCTAACAAAGGGGAGGAAAAGGACTGTGTGTGAATAGGGACCCAGTGCTACCTTCTACTGTGGGAAATCAAAAATAACTCTGTTACTACAAATACTACTTTTACAATGGTGTAAAAAGGAGAAGGTTTACAACATGTAGGTTTCTCAAAGATCTGCAATCTATCATTTCCGTACCTTGCGACTGCTCATACAACATTGAGATTGCTTTATTGTTATGCTGCTAGCTAGCGAGTGGCAATCATATTTGTGTAGCAAGGTTGTTGATGCTGCCAAATTCTGAAACAAATCTCAAGTCTGTGATCTCATTCAGTTGAATGATTTGCTTCTCATAAGCACATCATATTTGTTGATATCTTAGGATCAGTGCCACCTGATTCTCTAAATGAAGAGAGACCATGATTCTGAATAAATCCAAGGAGAAGCTCAGTTAACTTCCTGGAACTTACACAGAGGAGCCGGGACAAGTCCCTTCGCAGTACGCCAGTTCAACAGGTTCAGGAGATTCGCATTCACCGTGGCGGATCACAGTCTTATTGCTGTAAGCTTTGCAGTTCGGAGCTTCAGGAAGAAAAAAGGAAATAAACAGATTCCTCAAATCTCTAATTGAGAACTAAATTAATACTAAAAATCTTAGTTTGGTGTGGATGATATTCGACTACTGAGAATCCATGTGTAGTATAAAACAAGGAATATTGTATGAAGTGGCTAGAGATTTTAGATTCTTTTTAATCTCTGCTGTAGTCTTTGGAACACAGTAAAGCTAAGGCTTGAGCATCCATAGCTTAAGTTATGGAGTTCAACATCAAGCAAATTTATTTTCTCTTTTGAAGAGATAATCAGTGAAACACAGAGTATTGATAAATGGAGAAAGCTTGAAGGTAAAGAATCCTCCCTCTGCGCATAAAACAGAAGTTGAATGTTGTGTCTTTAGGCAGAAAATTTGTGCACAGATTTACTTACGTTTACATATCTTGCAGCAGCCGTCAGGAGTAGTCTCTGCTTCATCCTTTGCAAAAACATAGAGGAAGGTTTTCTATTAGTGCATAGATGTCAATCAGGAATGTGAATACTGGTTAGCCTTACTATGACTAGTCATGAAGCGTCCTCTATGATGAACACTGAGGGTGTTCAGAAACCTTAACTGTCTTGATGGCTGTGTCCCTGCCATGGACATCTTGCATCTCTGTAGCCTCATATGAAAATACCAAGTTACTCTTATTAGTGCTACAGCATTACTAATTAACTCTTAAGACATTCCTGAAACTTCAGTGAAAGGAATTTTGTCATGTTCTACCTTATCCTGTTCTTCATGTTCTTTGACATTGCATTAATAGAGGGGGAAAAAAATAATAAAACTTACAAAATCACACTCTCCTGGCTTGAATTCAGGGCATGTTTTTTTAGTTTGGACTGCAACAAATTGATCTTCAATTTTCTCACATTTATAATAGCTGCAGAGATCTAGTGGCAGGATCTCATCAGGCTAAGAGTGAGAGAAAAGAACATATGCATTATTTCTGCATCATTGTTAAGTGTAATATAGCTATTTCAGAAGTACCAATCTAAGTAAATCACCTCCAAGATTAACAGATTCTTTCACCATTCTTTCACATGGCAAAGGGGTGTGACAAACTTTCAACTGTGGCTTGATTGAATGCTTAAATCTTGGATCTCAACATTCGGGTGACATCGATATTTGCTGCCTGTCGTCTTTTCAATGACTAGTTATGTCATTGAGTTATACTGTATTTTGTATTTGTCTTTTCTAATTAAATGTTCAATTCTGAAAACTGGCCTCTGGTTTTCAGAGTTATCTCCATGTTAATTAGGTTTTGCTAGGAAGAAGTGCAAGTTCACTGGTAGCTGGTCTAATCCATGTTGACTAAAGCAAAGATCTGACAGTTAAAAGGGATACTTACACGGAGCACCTGAACAGTGTTATTACTTAGTTTAATTCGGCAGGCTGCTTCAACACACTTTCCACAGCATTCTCCATCCTCTTTTTTATATTCATAACCCTAGTCACAAAGAAATGAGAATATATTGAGGCCATGACAGAGAACTCCAGTCTCCTTGTAACTGAGGAGTGACAGTACAGGCTGGAGAATGTGGATGAACTCACCAAGGGGCAAGATGTTTCACAGTGAACTGGTTCACATTGCAGAATGTTCCTGTTAGTCTTTGGATCTTTTTCAGAAGTGCAGGTGCAATTCTGACACACATCAGTGACCATGGACATGCCAACCTGGAAGATGGAGAGGGAAAAAAAAAAAAAAGAAAAAGAAAAAGAAAAAAGGCAATCAAATAAAACCAGTCTCTATATAATGCATAAGTAGAATGCAAGTATGACTGGGTTGCTCAACTAACTTGGAACATAAAGTTGTTTTGCTCTCTGCCTTGTAAGAAACAAATGTTAGGAGGAAAACAAAACAATATAAAATAACATCTAGAAAAGTAAAATGCTAAAATGCAGTTAAGACTGTATTGAACTACCTCATTAATTTACCAGCTTTTCAATGCTTCATTTAAGATGAATTTTTCCCTGTTACAGTTGTTAGAAAACAGTAAAACCTTACTATTGTGGAGTATAATAAATAGATGCATATGTGGATCCATAAGGATGGATACCACTGTATACTTGGACTTCATTTTTTTGCAAAGAGGTTCTAGTGTTTAAATTTTCACTAAAAAAGCTTAGCTGTCAATTTTGGCAAAAGATTTAGATACCATTTCAAGCAAAAATTCTGGATTTATTTTTTAGGAATCTCAGAGGGCAGAGTACCAAAAAATGCACTAAAATGCTACTAAAACTGGTGTACTCTTATTTTACACTCCCTGTCAAAGAATTTTTCTGTAACAGTCTTTAATATCACAAGGAAATAACTTGAGTTCTCGTTTAGAAAGGAGATGCATGCAAAAACAGCTAAAGGACTTTTGTGATTGAAAGGGCACACATTTCACCCTCAGCAATATACCCTTGTCCAGTATTCTCACCATGTAAGTGGTATCATTAACCACACAAATTCCAGGTATTGCATCTGAGGGGAAAACAAAAAAACAGAATAAGTTCAAACTTTGAGATTAACCAAGAAGTCAAGATACAGAGTTGTTACCAACGGTTGTTAATAACACAATGAGTTTGGAGAGCCATATGCTTAAACCTCATTTTTATCTTTTTTATTATAACTGGATGTTGAAATAATGGGTGTATCTTTGAAATATGAGATGAGTTGAAGAAGAAATATGTTGAACTTGAGCTGTATCTGAGAAATACCTTTCTTTTCCTTTAGATATCAGGTTATTTTAAAATTTAGTTAGTTGTTTCCTATTCAAACCCTGGAATTCCAGTAACCTCAAAACATGCCTTTGCTTTTGATTTTTTTTATGTCCTCAGGATGTGGCTTGCATGGAAGATTGAGTGAAAAAGGTTGTATTTCTTACCAGGGTAATAAAATAATTTGACAGCATGACAGCCCATTTGTGTCTTTCATAGAATCACTTTGAACTTAACTATTTGCTTGTAAACTTTTGTGTTTCAGGCTTAATTTATGTTTACCTGTTCCTCTTGGCTCTTGTATATAAATTAACATATGTAACTGGTGAATTTCAAAATTTTTATTAGCATTACCCAATAATTTAAACATATCTGAATTGTTTATGTATTAAAATAACTAGTGCTTTATGAAAATCCTTTGATTGACTTGATGCTGTTGCTTCTGTATTACTTTTTTTCTTATCTATTAAGCTCTATCCTTGCTTATTCTTTTTTTCTGCATCTTGTTTAGCTATAGTAATGCTAACGGGAGTAGGCTACAACGTTGCATTAATAACATCATATGAATTGCATTAATGACCTTTATGACCTGCAGATAGAGTTACTTGTACAATATCAGCTATTTGAAGTCTCCAGATAATCTCTAGCTCTCCTACCCATTCCGGGTAAAATTCCAGCAAACTTTCATTGAAAATAACATTTTTTGCCAGCAAACTTTCATTGAAAATAACATTTTGTTTTTAATTCAGCTTCTAAGCTATACTCAGCCAAAAATGGATGTTTGTTCACTGAACCATAATACTTTAAGAAAAGTTTTGACATTACTATGATCTGTCTTAGATAATGACAGAAGTGCAAGTGTAATTTACCACAGTATGTAGTCTCATGTGTGCATGTATATATATGTATACCCACACACATCTATGTATTTTTAATACTTACGGCATTCAAATTCAGGACAACATGGATCTTTTGGTAGTACAGATATGGCAACAGATCCTTTTGGACAAACAGGTAGCTCGTTTGATTGGCATGGGGGTAGATGGCATTGCGCATTACCAGTGAGTGGGTCACAGATACACTCCTTGCATTCACTCTTCCATTTCTCTCCAGGCTGAAAATATGTAAATGATGTATTCATAAGCATTCTTTCACTCCACTGTTTCTGAGTCACCTTAAGTTAGACTCTGAAAACTGGCAGTTTTCGGTTTAATATTTTTCTTGCATATGATTTCCAGCCTTAAGGACAGGCAAGCTGGATTACAGAATTATCCTATATGTAGAAGGAATAAAATTCTAACACTTTCATAGCTGATCTACTTATTGTCATGATGTCTAAATTTCTTTTATGAAAGAAGTCTCTGCTGTTATATTAGTGAGCGTTTTCATCTCTATTACTTAAAAATTTGGCGGTATCCAGTATCTAGGTCATTTGTAAGACGAACAAATTTGGTACTGAAATACACACAAGTTGACATGAATGAGTTGAGACAACAGAAATTGGGCTGTATTTTTGCAGTAGTGATATATAAGAAAAAAATAGGGGAACCACCTTTCGTGGAGGATTGACGTCAGTACAGTTTCTTTCTACTGAAGTTGTGAGGGATGTTGCTGTAGTTGGTGAAGCAGAAGAGAATACAGGTGGTACAGATGATGAGACTTGTGTTGTAGTTCCTGAGTTTGTTGCAGTGAAAGGAGTTGTTGAAGGACATGGCCCTTGATATGCGTCAACTTCACAATCCTTGTTGCAAAGGGCATAAAAATTACAGCCAGCACTATCTGTTCTGTTGTATACAACTTGCCCTGCAGAAGAAAAAAAGAGAAGAGAGAATAAAGTAACATATTTAGAAAATAAGAAGTAAATATAGAAAAAAAATCTGTTTAGATAATGTTGAGTGTTTAACTGAATAGAGTCCTGGGGTTTCATATGATGGCTGAAAATGTTTATAATCATCAAAAAACATACCTGGAGAAAAAAAATCACCAAGCACATGACAAAAACATGGAGTTGCTTGACTTGTTGTAACATAGGTACTTCCTTCTGTTGCAAAAGGTGTGCTGGGGGAAGACCTCAAGGTTGCAGAAGTGCTTCTTGTAAGGTGAGATGATTGTGGTGGACCAGTTGTGGGTACTGATGAGAAGAAGAAATGTTTTAGTTCATAGTATAGGATTGTGGTCTTTTTAACTGTAGCATAATGAAAATTTGTTGAACATTCTGGTAGAGCAAAATAATGCATTTGTTACATTCCACTGTTGAAGGCATTTCACTAAATGGAAAGTTCAGAAGTCTTTTAGCTCTACAGTGTATATCATCTACAGACAATGGAAAGCGGGTGGAAAGGCATGATTTGGGTAAGGTGGGGCAGTAGAAGTGCATGCTGGAGTCTCAGATGCTACAGTACGGTTTTTGTGGGAAAAGGCTTGCATATAAGGGGAGGGGGTGGATGGGGAGCATGTATGGTGCCTACGGCTGTTGTCAGGCAATGTGGCTGATCACAGCAGTTGAGCCTGACCTGGTTATTGAAGAACATGGGATACTAGTTCATCTGATCCTCACTTCTGCACAACAGAAGCCTTTGACTCCAATGCTTTTGAAAGATTAAGTCACCACTGTCTCACTCCAAATTCACGGAAAAGAATGTAAAAAAATGGAGTTCAATTAGACTTGTATATAATAGAGACTAGTATGACAGACACCAATAGAGACAGTCATTGGCTGAAGAAGGATTTCAGCATACAGTGGAACTAGTCAATGATAAATAATGATATAAATACTCTGCTGAAATAACAATTTGTAAAATATCACATATGTATGCTACATGAGATGAATGACACTTGTTGGAAAAAAAGTGATTGGAGAAGAAGAAATGGCAGTACCTATTTCAGTAGAAAAAGAAGGGCTTGGAAGAATGACTGTAGTGCCAGAACTGGTAATCCATACAGTACTGAAGATGGTAGAGGCAGTAGTAGTAGGCGGGGCTGGA